GACCCTGTCTCCCTTGCTCTGCCTGCGGCGTCGGCCCAATGGCCTCACCCAGGCCGCTGTGTGCTGCCTGCCGATTCCTCCCCTCCCTGAGGGCTGGCCCTGTGTTCTTGTGTGTGGCTCTTTGTCTGGCTCAGCCTCCTGTCACCCCTCCCCCATTGCCCTTTGACCTTCAGAGTGACTGAGTTCTGTTGTCCCCATGGGGTCCTCTCTCGAGCCTTTGTTTTGAATTTCAGTGATTTCTGTTTATCTTCTTCCTAATGCCTTTTTCAGGCTTTCCTGTCATTCTATAAACTTCTGATGGTGGATGTGTGGCTATGCATTAGCCTCTAAGTACTGATTTGGCTGCACCTTATGTAGTAATATGCAGTTATTTTGATATCAGTTACTTTTTAAAAGATTTGATTTATTTTGAAAGAGAGGAAAAGAGAGAGAGCTTTCATTTGCTGGTTCACTCCCCAGATGGCTGCAACTGCCCGGGCTGGGCCAGGCTGAAGCCAGGAGCTTCCTCCAGGCCTCCCACCTGGGTGCAGGGACCCAAGCACTGGGGCCATCTTCCACTGCTTTCCTAGGAGCATTAGCAGGGAGGTGGAGCAGCCAGGACTGGCGCTCGGCTCTCACATGAATGCCGGCGTTGCACGCAGTCCTTAACCTGCAACTCCACAGCACCGGTCCCTCTGTGGTGACTTCTGAGGTGGCAGAGCCTGCACAGGGGGACGGTTGAACCATGAGGTCTGGGTGGTATCCTACGGCTCCTGCGCCGGGCTCCCGAGGGTCAGCTCTGCCCGCTCATCATGGTCGACTGCAGGGGTGACGTGGGGTGGCGAGTTCTCAGTCTCCGCGCAGGCGCGTGGTGGGACCCTTGGCTGCTACAAAAGCCTCGGCCCCGGGGGGCCATCTCCTGCACCCTGCCACCTCCTGGCTCAGCTGACCGCTCCACAGCACCATCCTCGGCTGGGTGTGAAACCGCGGTGCCATTTGCTCCTGGGTTTTTACTCTGCCGGGTTCCTTGGCTTAGCTGCAGCTCAGCCACACACACGGGTGAGGTTTCCATTACTTCCAGCCCACTGGACGGTGTTTAGGGAGAGGCTGGCCTGAGTGTGCTGCTCATCATTTCTTTGAGAGGCAGAGAGAGATGGTGAGACAGCGCCCATCCTCTGGCTCACCACTGAAACGCCTGCAGCGGTCCCCAAAGCCAGGAGCCAGGAGCCAGGAGTAGCCTCCAGGTCCCCGGCGCTGTCACCGCTGCCTCCCTGGTGTCCCCGTTCCTCGGGCTTTGCCGTCTTCTGCCTTTGGGTCCTTGTAAGCCACCTGTGGGTGGCTGAGGGCATTAAACCCGGCCCAGTGCCATTGGCTCTCCTGAGCAGGGACCTGGACTCTGGCCACTGTCCCTGCTCACCCAGCCGCCGTCCCTATGATCAGGGTCTGCCCTGCCCCAGCCCCTCCCCAGTTTCTCTTGAACCAGTTATTGGTGGGCCCTGAGTTGCCTGCGAGGTCTGATGCCAGGGCCCCCAGGGGTCCAGCCGTGTAACCATGCTGTGTGTCCCGCCAGCCCCTGGTCTTCCGCCCGGAGGCTGTGAGTTTGACGCCGCACCTGGGAGCCCTTTCCATGTTGTCTGCTCTGCGTGCCAACCCGAGCGTTGCCTGTGAGCCACGTGTGCGATGGGATGCCAGGGGCCAGTACACGTGCAGCGACATGTTCACCAAAGCCAGGGCAGCCAGCTCAGGACTGCAGGGCCCCTCATGCCCTGCACTCCCACCATGGCTGCCCCGTGAGGGTGCACATTCCGGGTCTGCCTCGTTCCAGGGCATGGCCACGTCCCGGCCATGGAGCACAGACTGAGGGAGGGGATCCTGGCTAGGTTCCTGTTCTGCCTGCTGGACATCTATGTGGTGGGGCTGCTCAGGTCCTTCTTCTACATCATGGAGACCACGTTCCAGAAGAACCAGCTCCTCTTCTACCGCAGGAGCGTCTGGAGCAGGCTGCAAAGCCTGGGCATCAGGTACCGCGTGTGGCATCCATGTCCCGGCTCCCCACAGGCTGCGAGGCCCTGTGCTGGCCCACGGAGGGGAGGCCCTGTGCTGGCCCATGGTAGCCCTGTGCTGGCCTGCAGAGACCCTGTGCTGGCCCGCGCCCTGTATGCTCATGCTTGGGCTCAGTCCCCTCAGGGCGCTTCTGAGGGACTTGGGTCGTGAGTCGCAGAGACCCCTCCTGCAGGGACACCTGGGGGTACAGGCGTCCCCTCTGGATGACCTTGGTGGGGGTGACATCAGGGGATGGGGCCTGAGTGGTGGGGATGCTGGCTCCTGGTTCTGCTGAGTCAGACCGAGGGATCAGGACTGATTACGCCGAGTCATGCCAAGTGTGGGATGGGAGCCTCGGGCCCCCATGTGGGGGTTCCTGGGAGCTGTCTGTGGTGGGTGAGGGCATCTGTAGCCCTCGCCCCACCCCACAGAGTGTGCTGTGTCCACGGGGACCAAAGTTCCCTGACCCCAGCCCAGGGGCGTGTTGCAGGCAGCACCTGGAGCCGGTGCGGCTGCAGGAGCTGTCAGATGCAGAGGTCCAGCAGCAGCCAGGTCGGCCCTGCCCATGGCCCTGACCCCCTCTCACCCCGGCCCTGACCCCAGCCCCAGGTGTGTTGAAGGCAGCACCTGGAGCCGGTGCAGCTGCAGGAGCTGTCGGATGCAGGAGGTCTAGCAGCAGGCCAGGTTGGCCCTGCCCATGGCCAGACTGTGCTTCATCCCCAAGCCCAGTGGGCTGCGGCCCATTGTGAACCTGGACTCTGTGGTGGGAGCCAGAACATTCTGCAGGGAGAAGGTGACCTGGCGTCCGTCTTGCCCCACACAAAAGCTCACAGGCTTGTGCCTGTGTGCTCAAAGACGGGTCCTGCTGTGAGTGGACGAGGAGCTGGGGGAGGTGCCCAGCTGGGCCTGGGAGCCCACAGGGGGCACTGGCCAGGGCCCTCGGAATCCTGCTGTGGCGCCGCATGGAGGGGAGGAAAGAACAGCTGTCGCTGCCCCCTGAGGACCGCAGGACTCGTCCAGTGGCTCCCCCTGCCCCCTGTGGCTCTTTCTGTGGCTTTGCCCCCATGGCTGCTGGTGCCTCTGCCACGGTGGGGTGATTTTGTCATTAGTTAGCATTGCTGCAGTCACTCCAAGGACCTGGCCTCTGTCAGGGGGTGCTGCGGACCCCAGCCCCAGGCAGCTGCTCAGCTGGAGGTGGATGGATGGCTAGCATCCCTGAGGGTCACATGTGTTGCTGGGTGAGGGTTCCTGAGGTGCAGTGACAGGAACCCTGAGGGGCCCGGCCAGTGGGCTGAAGGCCAGCTCTGCAGTGGGCTCTCCCAGGACCCTGGGAAGCTGGGTGGGCTTGTGGCTGCCTGCCCTCTACAGCCCCCCTGAGGCTGCATCCTGTGTGCCCCAGGCCCAGTCCTGGACCTCGCACATCAGGACACTGTTCAGCATGCTCAATTACGAGCAGGCGCAGCGGCCCGGCCTGCTGGGTGCCTCTGTGCTGGGCCTGGGCGACGTCCACTGGGAGGCCCTGGAGGCTGCAGCTGACCCGGCCCTGACCGCAGCCTTCAAGAGCATCCTGGACTGAGGCTGGAGGAGCCGGGCACATCGCTGTCGGGGGAGGGGTCATCTGTGACACAGGGCAGGGCCTGTCCTTGGGGCCTTCTTCCTTCAGGTCAGTCCCCTCCCTGCTGTCCTCAGGGGAGCAGAGCCCACCACCGAGTCCTCTCAAGACCCCGTCATGAACAGCCAGGAGGCAGCTCATGGAAGACCTGGCCATGGGCCATGGACCTGTGAGCATGTGCCCTGCCCCGGGCCTGCTCATCACCCCCGAGTGATCCAGGGCTGCCAAGGGAAGCCCTGTGCTGTGTGCTTGGTTAAGCTGCCCAGCTTGAGTGAGGGGAGGCCCCAGGCGCTGACCCACATGTACCTGGGAGCAGCAAACTACCCACCCCCTCATCCAAAGTCCAGGCTGAGCATTCCTGACCCAAGGTGTCCACTGTGCAGCCCCCCCCCCCAGGCCTCCCCTTGCCCCGTCCCTGCCTCCGTCCCTGCAGTGGTCCTCTGGAGCCAGTGTCTGGTGCAGTGTGTGTGGACTCCCCTCCCGTCCTCAGATACCAGGGCAGGAGGACACGTGGCCGCTGTGGGGGAGTCTTGTTCACGTGCTGGAGCCACGTATCTGTCAGGCAGCGTGGCACTGCCTAGTGCCTGATGAGGATGAGTAGGGAGCCCCCTTCCCCCGGCAGGCCCCAGCGTACAGGGGGCCTGGTGTGACCTGAGGACCCTACTGAGAGCAGGAAGGGCAGTGCTGGGGGGGATTTGGTGAAGGAGTGGCCTCAGCCACAGGGGTGGCTTGGGCAGCCTGAAGCCTGGCAGAGCAGGCACCTGTGTGACATTTCAGCTGCTGTGAGCAATTCCAGAACCTAACGGGATGTCACAGATGGGGTCATGGACATGGACCTTGGACAGGGACTCCTGGCACCTCGTGCTGGGTTTTATGGCACGGGATGTGCCCCTTTGCTGCTGCATTCAAAAGATGTCCTGGTGACTAAGCCGACACGCCCAGGGGACCCCAGACCATCCTGGTGACTAAGCCGATGTGCTCAGAGGGACCCCAGACCTTCCTGGTGACTAAGCCGACATGCCCAGGGCACCCCAGACCATCCAGGTGACTAAGCTGATGTGCCCAGGGCACCCCAGACCATCCAGGTGACTAAGCCGATGTGCCCACAGGGACCCCAGACCTTCCTGGTGACTAAGCCAACGTGCCCAGGGGAACCCAGGCCATCCTGTGACTGAGCCAATGTGCCCAGGGGACCCCAGACCATCCTGGTGACTAAGCTGATGTGCCCAGGGAGACCTCAGACCATCCTGGTGACTGAGCCAACGTGCCCACGAGGACACCAGACCATCCTGGTGACTAAGCTGACGTGCCCAGGGCACCCCAGGCCATCCAGGTGACTAAGCCGATGTGCCCATGGGACCCCAGACCACCCTGGTGACTAAGCCAACGTGCCCATGGTGACCCCAGACCATCCTGGTGACTAAGCTGACGTGCCCATGGGGACCCCAGACCGTCCAGTTGACTAAGCCAACATGCCCAGGGGACCCCAGACCATCCTGGTGACTAAGCCGACATGCCCACAGGGACCCCAGACCATTCAGTTGACTAAGCCAACATGCCCAGGGGACCCCAGACCATCCTGGTGACTAAGCCACCGTGCCCATGGGGAACCCCAGGCCCTGCTGTACTGTCACTCAGGTTCTCAGGCTTCACTGAGTTTGCCAAACCTTGGAAAAGCTGAGCTTTCATAATTCACAGATTTATTGGTTCATTTGAGAGCGACAGGGAGGGGGAGAGAGCTTCCATCCACCTGCTCCCCTGGTGGCTGCCATGGTCAACACTGAGCCAGGAGCTCCATCTGGGTCTCCCACATGGGTAGCAGGGGCCCAGGTGCTTGGGCATCCTCTGCTGCCTTCCAAGGCCTATTAGGGAGCTGGGCGGGAGCAGGGCAGCCAGGACTCCAGCCAGTGCCTACAGGGGATGCAGTGTTGAGTGGCCACTTTGTGGACACAGGATCCCCACAGGTGAAACGGCATCAGCCTCTTTGCTGCCCAAGCTCTGGCCTTCGCAGTGAGCAGCTCCTGACAGGGGCAGGGCAGGGAGAGGGAGACAGGGGCGGAACCCCCAGGGGGCGGGCTCACAGTCACCTGTGGGGGCTGCTGTGACTGTGAGGGATAGTGCCCCCCCAAAAACAAGATGGCTGTGCCCTGCTCCCCAGTGCCCCCTCCTGGTCGTGCTAACTGTAGTCCCCCATTGGGTGACCTTGTGGTGGTGGTGGCCCTGTCTGCCCCTGGGGGCTGTTGCCCATGAACACGATGTCCAGGAGGGAGGGGCCCTCTGTGGACTCCTCTGTTGTGGCCACATGAGGGCAGCATCTGCTCCTGTGCCAGCCCCTGCCAGTCAGGGATATCACATGGAGGGCTCATGCCCATGGGGGTGTCATGCTGGTCGACCATTGCCCTCTGCAGCCCCTGGGCCATGTCCACATTCACATGAGTGTCCATCTGTCCACACATCCATGGCTGAGTTTTCTGGAGGCTGGGTGTTCACTGGGTCTCTGTCCCCAAGCCCCACCCCTTCCCTCTTGGCCACTGAACCAGGGCTCTGACACCACCACCGCCCACCCCCGAGGGCCCCACCAGGCCAAGCTCCTGGGCACAGGGTGGCCAGGCAAGGTGTGGTCAGGAAGGGCAGCCCCGGAGCTGTTCAGGGCAGTGGTAGGGTTTGCAGGCCACAATGGCAGTATCGGGACAGCATTGCCCTCATTTTCCAGCCCTGTGGGGGCCCTGCCAGCACTGTCCACTGTGCAGAGGGCAGGTCATGAACCACGAGGTCTCTACAGCATATGAGGGGGGCTGGCCAAAGGGATACCGCAGGGCAGAGCTGAGAGTGGGCAGATGCCTGTGGGTCCCGCGAGCTCCTGTCCCCTCGGCTGTCTGCTCAGAGCTGCTGTCAGCAGTGATGTCCAAGCTAGCAAGACGGGGCTGAGCCCTGGGATGCCCCCTGTGGTATGGGCTCCCCTGTGTGACACCCCATGCTCACTGCCACCTGTCTCAGCATGGCGTGGGGAGGGGGTGTCATGATGGAGGGCTAAGTGCCAGCTTCCCCCACTGTGGACTCAGACGTGCATGGAGCGCTGGGGCTGAGCAGGTGTTTAGCTCTCAGCTCCTCTGCAGCCGGGCCTTGGTCACACCCGTGGTGGCGAGAGCTGCTCCCAGCACAGATGCTCCTTGGGTGATAACACACACATGCCTTGCCAGGTGCCACAGGGGGTGTGGCCAGCTGTGTGTTTCTGCAGGGCACCGGGAAAAGGCTAGGGGCTCTGTGGGTACTGGTCTGGCAGTGTGAGGCTGAGGTCAGTGGTCAGAAGGAAGTGGGGGTGGGGTGGGCAGGTGGGGGCTGACTGCCTGGGTGCTTGATGGGTGAAGGGCGGCTGGGGACCGGGAGGGAGTGGCCGAGAGGCCCCATGGTAGGAAATCTGATTTCAGCAGCCTCTGCCCTCGAGCATGGGTGCTGACACTGGCGGTGTCTCTGAGTCCTCCCTGGCTGGGCTCCCAGCACCCATGTGTCCCCCTCACATGTGTGCAGATGACTCCTGCCCCCTATCCTGGGCTGGACTTGGGGGTCAGCCTGGGGCTGGATTCCTGGCAGGGAAGCTGTGCAGGGCCTGGCCTGCCATCAGCACGCCTGCCCTTTGTCCATCACCACAACTTAAGGCTGTGTGGGCAGCACTGTCGCAGAGGGCCTCCCATGGCAGCCAGGACCTGGGTGTGCCCCTGGGTGGACTCTGCCTCCCATTTGAGGGCAGAGTGGACCCTGGATAGAGCAGGCCCAAGACGTGGGGAGCCAAGGGTCCTGCAGAGTCGGTGTCAGGGTGTGATGAAGTCACCCACGGCCATCCCTGCCCCTCAGTGGGCCCTGCTGTCTTGCAGCCTCAGGCTCCTGTCCAGCCACTCATCCTGCTGCTGCCTCCTACACTTGGCCACCAGCTGGGCCAGTGCGATGCCCGGGACCCACAGAGCAGGCAGCAGGGACAGGAGCATGCAGATGGCTTGCACCCAGCCAGGGTAGAGTTTCTCCTGCCTGGAGGGGAACTGCTCCTGCAGGGGGCACAAGAGAGAGAGCAAGCTCAGCCTGTAGGGGTCAGACCTCTGGCTCCAGACCCCAGGCCTTGGGCAGAGCGAGGCTGACCCGACCACCTGTGCATGGAGGCAGCCCCAGTCCTCCCTGTTACTACAGGAGGGCAGCTTCCTGGGTGGGTGCTCAGGGATGAGGGAGCTGGGGCTTGAGGCTCCCTCTGGGTGGAAGCCCTCAGAGAAGGCAGGCACATGTGGTCCCCACCCACTGGCCTCCAACACTTGTGGACAGGTGAGGTGTGGTCTGAGACCCCGGGATAAAGCAGAAAATTCTCACTTCCCCCAGGCGGATCCTGAGGGGTTCTGGTGCTCACTTGGAGGGGCGGCCCAGGCCAGGTGTTACATGGTCCCCTGTGTGGACCAGGCAGGGAGTGACCCTTCGCCAATCTGCCTCCTGACCTCTCCCAGACACTAGAATTGTCACTTCCCTGGCTGCCTGTCCCCACACCACGTGGAAAGTGCGGGCTGGAAGGACCGATGTCTCCAGGGTCTGGACACTGCTCTGAGGCCCTCGAGAGGCTCCAGTCCTGCAGGTCACTGCAGCCCCTTGATCCCCGTGGGAGAACCTACGTGCTGAGGGTTCCAGGCCTGGTAGCTCAGTGTCCTCTGGGCCAGCAGGACGAGGTAGGCCAGGAAGACACTCAGGAGGAGCAGGGGGCTGGCCACGAGCCACACCGCCCGCCAGTAGAGGCCTGGCTGCTGCCCCATCATCCACACAATGTCATCACAGAACCTGCACAAACATTGGGCTCATTGGCGCTGCGGGGCCCTCCCCACCCCCCGGGTTCCCCGTGGACCTCAGCTCACTGCCACAGGCTGTAGACGTAGATGACCCCCACCACCTCGAAGAAGGTGAAGACTATGAGGTTGAAGGAGGACGCGTAGCTGTCGAAGATCTCCAGCCAGTAACTTCTGGACTGCAGCATGGAGCAGGTGGCTGAGAGCAGGCAGGCCAGGCAGGCCAGCCCTGAGGTGCAGGGTCTGGGTGGGAGGCCTGCACCTGCCCCTTTCCCCCACCCCACCCCACCTGCCAGAGGTGGGTCAGAGCTTGGCCTCAGTGGGCCACGGTCAGGGTAGGTCCACCCATGTCCTGCACGGAGCTGTTGGGCTGTCCTCGGGGAGTGGGCTAGCCCAGGGCCCCTGAGCTCTGTATGGGAGGCAGCAGGCAACCCTGTGGCTGAGCTGTGCACTCACCTGTGAGGGCCTCCTTGGGGATCCCCGTGGGGATGGCCCCATGTCCAGGAGCAGCGTGATGATCCCCTCCATGTTGGTGCCTTGTATGATGCAGGGTCTCACACAGCCATGCAGAGAAGGGCCAAGTGCAGCCAGGGCAGGAAGTGCGAGCCTCATCCTGATGCCCCAGGCGCCCAGCCCAGCCCAGCACCCCCAGTGTGGGCACAGCCACCAGAGTGGGAGCCCCAGCCCAGCACTCCCTCACCAGTGTCGGCAGAGACCCCGGGAGTGGGAACCCCAGCCCAGCACCCTCTAACCCAGAGTCAGCAGAGACCCTGGGAGTGGGAGCCCTGGAACAGAGAGAAGCAGCTTTGCACGGTGCAGCATGGCCACCACTTGCTATGCTTTATGAAACTCCGGGAATCCAGCTAGGACGTGACAGGACCCTGTCCTTGGGGTCCAGGTGAAGGAGCTGGAGAAGCCCCTCTTGCACTGGTGAGGGTGGTGCTGAGGTGAGGCGCACACAGTGAAGCACATGTGAGGTGCACACACATGTGAGGCACACAGGTGCACATGAGGCACACACACACACATGTGAAGCACACACATGCTCACACAGTGTTCCTGGGGCACCGGCTCCTACCGCACTGGCCATGGCTGGCCTGTCCTCTGCCTCCTCCCTCTGAACGGTGTGGGATTGGCACAGGCGCCACCCATTGACTCTGCATGTGGGGGCCATCCTGGGTGCCGACGGGTTCCGCAGGACCCCTGCCCCACCCACTGGGTGCCTGAAGCCCCCTCCAGGGATGCGTACTCTGCAGGGGCAGAGCTCCCTGTGCCAGAGGCTGCAGCCCACCCAACTCCCTGAATGAGACGTGTCTGGATGGTCGGGTGGAGGGCCTCAGGGTTGCTCAGGCAGCATCGGCTTCCTGGGGCTGCCTTAGGGCTGTGCACTGTGCATATCTCAGAGTGGAGGCATGCATAGTGTGTGTGATCCTAGAGGCCCCGGGCACATGGGGTCAGGTGGCAGCCCCCCAGAGGCTCCAGAGGGCACCCCTCCTGCCCCCTGTGGCTGTCCCCTACTTGGGGCCCACATTCCCCAGGGCAACCTCAGCTCCATCCACACCCAAGTTTCATCTGCTGAGACCCTTTTTCCAGTGAGAGTCCTCGGAGCACTGGCATGCCTGCCCCGCCCCTGCCCATGGCGTGGCCCGGCCTCACCTGCCCAGGCACTGTCCATGGTCTGTGGTGGCCTGGAAGCCCATGACGGAGAAGATGGCAACAGAGGCATACAGGGAGGTCATGCTATTCACCAGGGAGATGACCATGGTGTCCTTCTCACAGTTGTTCCTGCACACGGGAGCACTCAGGGCCTCTGGAGGGCCCCCACCCACTGAGCCTGGGCCCCTCCCCACTGCCTCACTCTACTCCTTGACCATTTGTGGAAAGGCTCAGAGCTGCCCCAGGCCACAGTCAGGCTGGGCACACACAGCAGCTCCTGGAACGGACAAACCAGGTGGAGCCTACCCCAGGCCAGCAGGTCCCACAGCACCATCCCCAGCTCAGCCCTGGCTGGCTGGCACTGCATCGCCAGGGTGCCAAGCAAGCTGGGGCAGCTACCCACCTGGATGGATTGTAGCTGGCAAAGGCGATGTGTCCACTGAAGGCCAGGGACTGGGAGAAGATCTGGGTGGCTTGCATCCAGCCACACCCACAGGTTCTGGAGAATCTGCCTCTGAAACATGAACACAGAAGATGCTGTTCTAGAACATTCCCTGGCCCTTTTGGGTCACACCATAACCAGGTGTGACCTGTACAGATTCCAAGAACCGTTCAGGACTTTGTGCCAGGAGGGAGCTTGCTTGGCATGGTAGCTGACACGGCTCCCCTGTTCTGCGATGCAGCCACCAAGCTGTGGCTTCGTCAGGCCCATGGCAGAGTGTGGCTGGCACTCGGTGGTGGGGCCTAGAACCAGATCTGAGCTGACTCCGACCCGGGCACGCTCCCTGTCCTCTCCCATGCGTGGCTTTAACTGTGTGAGGCCCCTGGGCAGGGGTATTTGCACCCATTGCCCCATTTGCCCACTGCTGGGTGTCTGGGGAGACAGCCTCACGCCCAGGTGTGCAGCCGACTCCTGGTGGTGGTCAGCAGCCCTGGAAACCCCCTTGGGATCCTGGACCAATGGAATGGTCTAGAAGTGCTGCAGGCTCTGAGTAGAAGCCCCTTGGTCCTGTGTGCCACACCTGCTGGACGTTTCTGCCCCAGGTGACAGCTGATTCCTGCCGGCCCCTCCCCCACACTCCTACCTTGTCAGCACCTGGACTTCCTGCAGGTGCACCGGTCCACACACCCCAGACCAAAATCCTTGCCCCAACCCTGCCGAGACCCGGAGGCCCGCCTCCCTTGCCCACTGTGCCCCCTGCCCCCCTCCACTTATGTTGGGGGTGAAAAGGTAGCGGAGCCTGTGTGTGACACCAGACAGCATCAGGCCTCTGATGAGGAAGATGGTCAGCACCAAGTAAGGGAATAGGGCCGTGAAGTAGATGGCCTGGAGGAGATGCCAGGTCAGATGCACAGTGGCCCTGCAGGAGCGGGGGAGGGGCCTTGCCCCATTGTGACCACTCATGTGGCCCAAGGTGACCACACAGGCATGGTGCTTTGGGTCAAGCTCTGAAGGTGTATGGTCACACAGGACCCGTGGGTCTGCTAAGGTGGGCACCGGCACTCGGGACAGGCAGGCCCCCTCCCCCACCCCAGGCTGCTCCTCGTCCTGCCTTGGGTCCTCCTGTGCACACCTCAGGCTCTCAGCCCAGCCCCCTCTTTCCCCTGTCCTGGTGGCTCCCAGTCAGCGGTGGGCCAGGGCCGGCCCCACATCCCCACACAGACCAAAGCCACAGGGCCTCCCCAGCGCATTCCTAACAGGATGATCTGTAAGAGCCACAGGGTCTGGTCACTGGCTCTGTCCTCAGAGCCTCGTGGGAAAAGGCTCAGGCTGGTGGCTGCTGGATTGTGTGGGCTGCCCTGGGGCAGGGGGTGTGAGGAGCCCTGACCATGCAATGAGTGTTCAACACCCCCGACCCGTGTGCCCCAGCGGCCCTAAGGGAAGGCCCTGAGAAGCCAGTCGCCTGTGAGAGAAACCAGTGTCTGCTCTCTATCACATGTTTTAAGTAAGTGTAAGAACATGGCCAAGGCTTGGAGAGGAGTGGAAGGGAAAAGGGGGGTGTTCCTGGAGGATAGTGCATGCAGGCCACTGCACGTGGGGCACACGTGTCACCTGAAGACGGCCCGTGACAGGCCCTGAGATCCGGTACCAGCCAGTGGGTGCATGACCTTGGCCGGGGGATTTGGGTGCAGACCCCACCCATTGGTGGCTTGGCAGGGTCCGGGGAGGTCATGGCAGGGCCTCGAGGGGTGGTTCCAGTGGGAGCATGGGTTCTGAGAGCTGTGAGCCCCCTGTGTCTCTTCTCCCTGGGTGGTCCCTCACCACCCTGCAGCCGCCCAGCTGCCTGAACCGAAGGCGCTGCCCATCTTGGAGCCCGAACCTCCAGACCATGAGCTACGTGCGCCCTCCTCCCTGGTGCTGCTCTGGGATCCAGCGAGAGTCAGAAGCCTGACAGTGCCTCCGCCACACAGGAGGCGGAGTGGAGGCATAAAGAGCAGAGGAGGAGGACCAGACGGGGAACGGTCAGGAGGCAGAGGCAAACCTGAGCCGCCAGGGAGGTGCTGGCTCTGAGTGGGGGCTCCTCAGGCCAGACCCAGTGGAGCAGTGGCTATGAGAGGCACTGTCCACCGAGATGGAGGGGCAGGGAGAAGTCACAGTGGCCGCCAGAAGAGAGCCGGCATGGCTGCCTTGGCAGAGTGCGGTTCAGGGCAGAGACTGTCACCAGGATGAGAAGCTGCCCATGGGGCCCCGAGTGTGCCTGCTCCCCCATGCCGAGCCAACACTGGCAGCATGGGGAGGGGGCCTTGGAGCCAGAGGAAGCTGCTCTCACCTTCCCAGTGGTCTCAATGCCTCTGATGATGCACAGATACACCACAGCCCAGCAGATGACCAAGCAGATGAGCAGCTGCCACTGGACAGTGCCACTGTTGCTGATGTCAGCAGTGATGTCCAGCATCTGCCGGTACCAGAAGTAGCTCACGGCACTGCTGCCCTGGCACTCTGCCACGAACCCTGCAGCCAGCAGTCCCGTCACGGGCCAGCTCCAGGGCCTGGGCCCAGTGCATGCTCTGCCTCGAAAGCCAGCAGGGGCATGGGCACCATCATGGCTGACCCTGCACTGAAGCGGCCCCCACCCTCCAGCCCAGCCATGCTCTCTCACCTCCCTCTGAGGCTGAGATGGGGAAGGGAGGCCCAGGGCTTGGTGTGTGAGCGGATGGGGATCTGGGTGGTCCCTGGGTCCAGCGGGGACCAGTGAAGAGGAGAGGTCACCTGTCCACACTGGCCACGCCCTCACCCATCCTGTTGCCTTCCAGCAGGCAGTGGCTCCAGGGCAATGGGTGCTGGAAGGAGTTGAGGAAGTACCACAGCACCCAGGTGAGGATGGTGTTGTAGTACAGGCTGACCAGGAAGGACATCGTGAGGCAGCCCAGCCCTGCAGACAGCGAGGACAAAGTGTCACACAGCAGGGGAGGAGCGGTGCCACCCACGTGCAGAGCAGGTCCTCCTGGGGAGCCGAGAAGGGGGTGGCCTGCCTACACTGCCCAGGTAGGGGGAGATGGCTGTCCACACCCCAATGCTGCCCTTGTGCAGGTGCTGGCCGATGGCGAGCTCAATGTGGAAGAGTGGGATCCCCTCAAAGACCAGGGCAATGAAGTAGGGGATGAAAAAGGCCCCTGTCAGGACACAGGGGTCAGGGGTGGCCACCCTCTGCTCCCCATTGGAGCACCTGGCATGCTGCCAGCGGCCAGCCCAGGTTCTGGCTGGGTGTGGTTGGCGTTGCTGCTGGCTGCATGCTCAGCCTCATGGGAGAATAAACCAGCCGGGCAGAACTGTGGGGCAGACTCAGAGGCTGTCTGTGTGGCCAGTGTGGATAGGCAGAGTGTGTGTGGCCAGTGTAGACAGGAGTGTGCCCAGCTAGTGTGGAAAGTGTGTAAGTGGCCAGTGTGGACAGGCAGAGTGGGCATGGCCAGTGTGTACAGGTGGAGTATGTGCAGCCAGTGTGGACAGGCAGAGTGTGTGCGGCCAGTGTTGACAGTGTGTACAGTGTGGACAGGCAGTGTGGGCATGGCCAGTGTGGACAGGCAGAGTGGGCACAGCCAATGTGGACAGGTGGAGTGTGCACAGCCAGTGTGGACAGTGTGTATGTGGCCAGTGTGGACAGGCAGAGTGTGCAGCCAGTGTGGACAGTGTGTATGTGGCCAGTGTGGACAGGAGGAGTGTGTGTAGCCAGTGTAGACAGGTAGAGTGGGCACAGCCAGTGTAGACAGGTGGAGCGGGCAAGCAGACACCTGGAACAGGAGCTGGCGTGAGGATGAGGAAGGGCCACAAGCTCAGAAGACCCTGGAACTGCCCAGGAGCGAGGAGGGTGAGTGCGGCTGTGCAAGATGTGGGGGCGCTCTTTACAAAATTATGAGTGATGGGCGATGGGCACTGAGTGGCTGGGGTGAGACCACCCGTCAGCGCAGCCCGGGGAGGAACGGGGAGTAAGAAGACAGAATGTTCCGGCATGTTTGGCCATGCTTGCCGCATCTGGAAACAAGTGCCATAGCAGCACATTGGGGCGGCCACTCCTCCCTCACCTGCATCCCTGATGAGAAGCCCCCTCCCCTGACCTCTGCGTCCCCGAGGCCCTGGCCCCTGGGGAGTCTCCCCAGGTTCCTCACTGGAGAGAGTTGGGCGTCCCAGGCCTGCCCGTCACATGGGGGCACTTGGGCAATGACAGCCCTGAGGGCAGCAGCCCCTGGCTGGTGCACACGTGTGGGCCACACAGGTGCATCCATGTGCTGTGACTGCTAGTGAGCCCGGGGCTCCTGTCACCCCGCAAGGAGCCTTGGGAGACACCAGCCCCCACGAACATGGACACCAGGGTGATTGCCCCCTGGAGACTGGCTCCACACTGAGGGGCAGCGCCGCTGAGAATGAAGCTGCATGCTGGCCTGGGACCCCATGTGCAGGCCCCTGAAGTCCCCAGGGCTCAGATGCCAAGGCTGGGCTCTTCTTGGGGCCCTACATGTCTGGCTTTTTGGGACAGTGATGCTGCCCAGAGGTCAGGGGTGGGGAAGGCCAGTCCCTTGGGTACCCAGATGTGGCTGGCAGGCTCACCTCCACTGTGGTTCTGGCACCTCCAGATGTTCCCCAGCCCCACAGCAAACCCCACGCAACTGAGCATGTACTGGAGCTTATTGTCCCACTGGGGACTCTCGTCCTCCCATGCATCCAAGGCTGGATCTGGGCCAAGGTCCTGGGCCATAGTGGTCCAGTGTCTCTGGGAGCATCTAGACCACACCGCACCTGCACCCTCTGCTGGCTTAGAGCCCAAGCATCCCCTCCGTCACATCCTCTGGTTTATTTAAAGGAAAGCCGGTGGAGCCCTGTTAATTGGTAACCTGGGGCCTGGCTATGCCTGCATCCCTGGAGCCTTTCCCATGAGTGTGTCCAATGTCAGCTGCAGGCTGGTACCACCACAGAGAGAGCTGTCCCCGCGACAGCTGTGTGCTCCTGTTGGGGATGCTCAGGGGCACGGTGAGTTGGCTTTTAGTTATTTATCTGTAACAAGTGTTTTGATGTTGAGGTAATGCAGACTCATGCTCATTGGTGACAGGGTCAGAGGTCCCTGCTTCTCTCCCCCACCCTCAGTTTGCCAAGGTGGCCACATCCTGTGAAGCTGAGTCGAGGATGTGGACACCTCAAGACCCAGAACATCCATCACCAGGGACCCCCACTCTCCATCCAGGACCCTGGCAGCCCCTGACCTCCCCATGCCATGCAGTTCCCAATGGGGTTAGCAGATAAAGGCTGTTGCCTGGCCACATGTGGCTGTGGTGGCTGTGGCTTCCCTGCTTCTGGGGCAGCGTAGGAGGGGGCTTAGTCCTCAGGCCACACCTGTCTCCTGACACCTTGGGAGTCTGACCATGGCTTCCTGGCCAGTCCTATGTGGCCTGTACCAGGGGCTGCACCTGCTCCCTAGCCCAGCCTGGGGGCCTCAGAATGGAGCCCACACCCTCCCCAGAGCTACAGGAGTCCCTGGGGTGACCCCCACTGAGCACAGCAGGGACAGGGCCTTTGGGAGGCAGACAGTCCTGCCCAATGCCCAGCCTGTCCCGGCCACAGCATGTGGCTTTGTGGACAGCATCCTGATTGCAGCCCATGGGGGAGTGGAGCTGACTGCCAGCCACACTGTCCCTGGGGACACACTCGCCCGTCTGGATGCACACTCGAGAACAGTGGATGCAGTGGTTTATTTAGATGGGGACACTTGATGTCCATGAACCTGCCTGTCTATCACGTTGACAAGGATGCCAAGCAGCAGCACTGTGCTCTGGAGGTGTCACACAACCGCCAGCCTCCTGGATGGCACACCTGGCCGTGCCGTGCCAGGGGCACTGCAGGGCAGTGGAGGGGTGAGTGCTGAGTGGTCAGAACATGTCCAAGCTCCACCCTGCTCTGTGTTTGTAGTGTGCCGGGTAGCTGGAACTGCAGGACTGGAGTTTGTGGCCGGGGTCTCTGGGAGGAAGGGGACCCCCCAGCATCCCAGCCCAACTTGTGAGAATTCTATAAAGTCCGCTTGAAGGGAAGCACTCAGGCTTTTCTGCGGAACGTGGAGGTGGCCATTTGTGGAAGCAGATGCCACAGGCACAGCTTGCGTGGGCTGAGGTTGGTGCCAAGTCCCAGGGCCATCCACCCTGACACAGCCCTGGGCTCCAGGGGGGCCAGGAGACATACAGCATCCTTGGTGGCAGGGGCCAGGGCCAAGTTACCCTGTAACCCTCTCTCCCAACATCTGGCTAACAATTCAGTTAATAGTCCCCATAAGAAAACAGCTGATGTCTTCCTCTGGCTGGGCCACACTGAGCTGCACTCAGAGCGTCTGTCCATGGCAGGCAGAAGCAATGATTAAATGGTGAGTATTCATTAAGCCAGGGGTGGTGGGGCCAGGGCATGGGGGGGTGTGTGGCCATGTCACCACAGGCTCAATGGGCTTCTGGTAAAAGGGCCCAAACCCTGACCTCGGGGTCTCTAGGTCAAGTGTCTGTAGCTAGGGGGAGGACACAGGGTGAGGGCTGGGAAATGAGAATGGCTGCAGGGGCCGAGTCAGCAGCCCACACTCCAGGCTCCACGGCCATCCATGGCAACCTGGGGGCAGCAGGTGCAGCCTCCCCACCCCTCAGCTCTTGACTTTGGGGGACATACTCAGGGCTGTGTGGCATGCTGTACAATGTTCATGACAAGGAGACTGGGCCCACATGGTACATGTGTGTGCCATGAACATGTAAACAAAGATGCACATATTGCACATATGTGTGTGAACACGTGTGCACCTGGATATGCACACACATGCACGTGCATACAAGCAGTGTGCGTATACGTGTAAGCACAATGCACATGTCCACATGTGCACAAAATATATAGCTACATATGTACAGATGCACGTACACACATACACATGCATATGCACACACCCATAAAACATGCACATGTATGCACACAGGCATACGTGCACACAATACATACATATCCAGGCATGCACACAATGCTGACATAACTCACATGTATACACACGTGTGCATAGACATGCATGCATATGGAGAAACATCACATACACATGAATGAATATACACATGTACAACATACGTGTCTACATATTCAAGCTAGTGCACACACGTATAAAATGCTCACACACACACACATAAATGTGTGCATGCGTGCACTCACACACACACGCAGCCTGGGGCTGGGCCCCTCAGTACTTGAGGTCCCCATTCACGGAAGCCGTGGACTGCGTGCTGATCAGGCCCTGCTGGTCCCCTGGCTGCCGGCAGTGGCCCCTGATGAGCTTGCAGATGGTGAAGCAGGGGATGATGAGGCTGGGCATGCCAGCCATGACCACCACCACCATGTACACCCAGGGCAGGTACCTGACCTGCCAGGATTTGAGGAACTCCTCCTGGGGGAGAACCAGGCGAGAGGTGAACACATGCAGGGCCTCTGCCCTGACCTGTGACCCTCCCCTGAGCACACCCAGGGCCTCCACCCTGACCTGTGACCCTCCCCTGAGCACACACAGGGACTCCACCCTGACCTGTGACCCTCCCCTGAGCACACACAGGGCCTCCACCCTGACCTGCGACCCTCCCCTGAGCACATGCATGGCCTCCACCCTGACCTGTGACCCTCCCCTGAGCACACACAGGGCCTCCACCCCGACCTGAGACCCTCCCAGCATGGGCGGCCCCAGGCACTCACGTAGCTGGGGTCCCAGACACTGTAGGTCAGCTCCTTGCTGACTTCGACCGTGAAGTAGAAGAGGAAGATGACCAGCATGATCTGGGGGCTGACAACCAACCACATGAGCTGCCAGAAGATGTTGGGTTTGTGCCCAATCATGAACTCAATGTCCTTGTTGAACTTGGAGACAGAGGCTGGGATGGTGTCGACTGACCTGGGTGAGATGCTGCCTCACCCTGTACTCCGGGCCTTTCACAGATGGACGTGTAGACATGTACAGTGCCAAGCACAGCTGCACAGCTGTGGGGCCAGGCACATGGCCAAACCCACACTGCATGATGTTACCAGAGCATGGCCAACCCTGTGTACCTTGGCCTGCCCCTCAGCTGCACACCTGTACCTGCACACACGGCCTCTGTACACTTGGCCTGCACATACCTGTGCATACCTATATCTGCACACACCTGGCCTCTGCACACCTGTGCCTCCACACCTGTAACTGTACACCAGGCCTCTGCACACTTGGCTTCTGCACACCTGTGCCTGTGCACACCTGTGCCTGCACACCTGTACCTCCGCATGCCTGTGCCTGCACACCTGTACCTCTGCATGCCTGTGCCTGTACACCTGGCCTCTGCACTCCTGGCCTGCACACACCTGTGCCTGCATACCTGTACCTGTACACCTGGCCTACACACACCTGGCCTGCACACACCTGTGCTTGCACACCTGTGCCTCTGCATGCCTATACCTGTACACCTGGCCTACACACACCTGGCCTGCACACACCTGTGCCTGTACACCTGTACCTCTGCATGCCTGTACCTCTGCACACCTGGCCTCCACACACCTGTGCCTGTACAACTGGCCTCTACACTCCTGGCCTACAAACACCTGTGCCTGCACACCTGCACCTGTACACCTGGCCTACACACACCTGGCCTGCACACACCTGTGCCTCCACATACCTGTACCTGCACACCTGTACCTGTATACCAGGCCTCTGCACACTTGGCTTGTGCACACCTGTGCCTGCACACCTGTACCTGTGCAACTGGCCTCTTCACACCTGGCCTGCACACACCTGTGCCTGTACACATCTGTGCCTGCACACCTGGCCTCTGCACACCTGGCATCCACACACCTGTGCCTGCACACCTGTACCTCTGCATGCCTTTACCTATACACCTGGCCTCTGCACACCTATGCCTGCACACACTTGTGCCTCTGCACACCTGTACCTGTACACCTGGCCTCTGCATGCCTGGCCTGCACACACCTGGCCTGCACACACCTGTGCCTGCACACCTGTGCCTCTGCATGCCTGTACCTGCACACCTGGCCTGCACATGCCTGGCCTTCACACATCTGGCCTGCACACCTGTACCTGTACACCTGTGCCTGCACACCTGGTCTCAGAAGCAGCTCGCCTTGATAGCTTCTCAGGCTGCTCTCTGGTGGCCACCCCACCCAGCAAGGTGAGTGCCCAGATATCTGGCCAAGTGGGGGTTGAAAGCCCCCACTCTGGAAAGGCCTGGACTCCAGGGAGGAACAGCCCCCCACTGCAACATAGGTACCCCGGGCTGAGGACCGAGCCCCACTGCCCACCCACCCATAGTTCCTCTGCTGCACCTGCACCCAGGCTGCTGTGGGGGACCCAGACCAAGGCTCTTGCTCAGCCATGTGGCAGAGGGCCTGCTCTTGCTGTGGCCTCCATGCTCATACACCCCAAGTTCTGGGCAGTCTCCCAATGCTGCTGTCGGTGCTCACTCTGCACAGCTAGGTGTAGGAGAATCTGGAAGCCAGAGGGGTATGGACTGCCCCTGGTGGGCCCTGCAGAGCCCCCTCCCGGGACTCAGGGCTGCTGCTCTGCTGTCTGCCCTGTGCCCCCTGATGCTGGCCCCGGCCCAACTCCCTGCTGCCTCCTCCCTCGTACCTATCAATGCCATACATGTAGAGGATCCCGAACACCTAGCAGAATGCAATGATGAGCAGGGGGATGGAGCCCGCATATCTGTCTGGGAGGGAGAGCCAGTACTGGCCAGAGTTCTGTGTGAAGATGAGGGCCAGGAGGTAGGTCCCCAGGCAGGTGAGGCCTGCAGGGAAACAGAGCCGAACGGGTCCCAACCTGTGGCCCAGTGGGAAGGAGACACAGCCGGGCCCCCCACGGCACACGCACCTGTGAGCAGCTCCTTAGGGCACTTGGCGGGGATGAGCTTGAGGTCCTGCAGTGGCACAGCCATGCCCTCCATGTTCCCGAACATGGACGACAGACTCAGGCAGAAGAGCATGAGGAAGAACAGCACGGACCACAGCAGCAACACGGCATCTTGGTGATGGCCTCTGTGAAGACAATGAAGGCCAGGCCCACGCCCTCCATGCCCCGCATGATGGCACCCAGTCACCCAGGGCCTGTTGGTCCCTGACGGCCACACTGGTCACCCTGTCAGCGCACGGCCCACTGACTGAACCATACCAAGCAAGAATGAGGCTGATCCTAGGCCTCCTATTGGCTCCAGATACACAGGTAAAGTGGAGCTGCGGGCCAGGAGGTGAGGGGGCACGGGGCCCGGGCCCCTTCACCAGGTGCACCCGGCCCTGGCAGAGCCAGGAGCAGCTGAGGGCTCCTGGGCTGGGATGGGGAATGCCAGCAGCCACCTGGGGCCCAGGAGGTGACACACAGCTGACAACAGGTGATGCCACGTCCCGTCACCAAGCTTGGTGCTGTGGGAGCCGGCCCGGAAGTAGTGACACCCCCACAACCTGGGGGCTCCCAAACAGAGAGGAGGCAGTGTGTGGGGAGCCGAGCGGCAGCAGGATGTGCCACGGCCAGCGTTGTGGCGACCAAGGGGAAGTGGATGGCAGCCCCAGGGAGCAACCTGAGGGGCCAGTGGGGGCGTTTCTGCCTCCCACTTGCCGGGGTGCCCGGGACCTGCCTCTGAGAGGAAGGAGTTCATGCCGCAGCTCTGGACCGTGAGCTGGGCATAGGCTGCGGGGTCTGTGGCATTCCACCAGAGCTGCATCTCCGCGAAGTTCTCCTGGGTCACATTGCCCTCCGGCAGGTCAAAGGCGTTGATGAGGGTCAGGAGGTTCCTTGGAGCAGAGCCAGGATGACACTGGGCGCAGGGCGTGGCAGGGGCGGGACCACTCACGTGCTGAAGCAGTCCTCATAGTGCTCGGTGGTGCAGAAGCCGATGATGGAGTAGATCACTGTGGCTGCTTACACGGACATGAAGCCATTGATGGAGATGACCACCATCTCGCACCCCACAGGCAGAGGTCCGCAAAGGCACCACTGCCAGGCCCAGGACTGAGGGCCCAAGGCCTGCTGGGAAATGGGCTGGGCAGGAGTCCACCTGTGCCCCTCCAAGCAGGTGCAGGTGCTGAGGACTCAGAGGGCCAGAGGGCTGTGCCCAGCGTGGGAGCCCAGAGCAGGGACCCTTGGCCCTTGCCCTTCACGCCTCCCCCACCACAGCCTACTGGCTCTGGGGCCCCCGGAGCAGCTGTCGCCCCTGATTCTGGAGCAGGAGAGCCCTGGGTTCAAGTCCCAGCTGGGCCTCAGGTGCCCCTGGACCTGCCAGGCATTGGTGCAGCCGACACACATGATGCCGTCGGCCATGGAGACCCGGCTGGACCCACAGCTCCACTCCCAGGCACACGCCTGGAGGTGGGGTCGTTCCCAAGAGCCACAGAGCCCCAGGCACCTGCGGAGCAGCCGCAAAGCCCTGTAGAGCTGGCAGGACAGGGAGAGTGGGTCACGGGGTGGGACTTGGGTGGGTGGGGTAGGGAGAATGTTCTGGAACTGGAAAGAGGTGGTGGAGACGTGGGAGCCACCTGTCCTGCCAGCCAGATGGAGCCTCTGTAAGGGTCAGCACCCGGGAAGCCAGGTGCCACAGGGCAGCAGGGTCGCCCTCCTCATACCTCCCCCAGCACGCCCCCACCAAGGGCTGCCATGCACGCTCTCGCGAGGGTGGCCGGGTTTCCAGGTCTGATGGAGAAACTGAGGCGTAGTCTGCTCCTGGCGCCCCAGGACCCCTGCACCCCCTACTCACTGCATCAAGTTGTAGCTGGAGAAGGAGAGGAGGCCGCCGAGGGCCAGCGAGAAGGAGTAGAACACCTGCCTACCCGCATCCAGCCAGGTGACCGGTTGGCCAGCTCAGTGACCTGCGCAGAGCGAGAGCGCGGCGTCAGCGGGCAATGGGCAGCGGCGGGCGGCACTCACATTGGGCGTGAAGAGGAAGGCGATGCTGGCGCCCGCGCCCTTCAGCCTCAGGCTGCGGATCAGGAAGATGGTGAGCACGAGGTAGGGTAGCGTAGAAGTCATGTACACGGCCTGCAGCGGGGCAGGGAGGCGGGCTCAGGGCGGCCGGCGAGGGCGCGCCCTGCACCATAGCCCAGCAGCCCCGCAGCCTCGCGGCGCCTGCCCCCACCTTGCCGGTTGTCTCGATTCCGCGGATGGTGCACACGTAGAGCACGCTCCAGGCACACGTGAGGCACAGCAGGATCCACCACTGCACTGAGCCCGTGTCGTTGATGGACGTTGTGGGGAGCAGCCCGGACTGGACTGAGTTACTGGAATTAAGACTTATTCTATGCATCTGCTCTCCCACAATATGGCGCTGGGAGAGAAGTAAACAGCTTCCGCACAGCTGCCTCCAGTTCAACCAATAAACTGTAGGACTTGCTACTGATTGGAGGAGAGCAGCGTACTCGGCGTGTGGGCAGCCGAGTTAGGATTGGCGGAGGAGGACTATAAAGGAGGAGAGAGACGGCATGCACCAGGAACATCTAAGGGGAACATCTAGCTGAAGGAACACCTGTGCAGCCCCCGAGAGAGCCGGCCGGCGGTGTGCCGCTCCCCTGCGGAAGTGGGGAATGTGGCCAGGGGGAACTGCCCTTCCACGGAGGTGGAAGGGATAGTAGCCAACCCGGGAAGAACCAGCAGCAAACCCGGGGAGGGCCGAGCAGACGAAAGAACAGTGCAGGGCTTAGTGTCGTTCCTCCATGAAGAAGGGGAGCGACATAATGGTGCCGTGACTCGGATATGAAGCCTAGGCAGGGTTTAGTGTTGCTCCTCCACGAAGAGGGGGAGCGACAGACGTGGATATGTTGAGCGTCTGGCGGTACCAGAATTAGTCCACGGAGGAGCTGCGCGCACACTCATCCGTGTAGCCTGCCAGGGCGCGGCCGTGACGCGTGTCGGCGGGAGCAGCACATGTGCACGCACCCGGGGCTGCATGCTCCCTAGCTCCTGACGGCCTCCCTCTTCCTTGGCTGCCCTGGGTGGAGCGGAGTCTCGGGGCTCCCTGCCCCCAGCCCCTCCAGGACCCTGGCTTTGGCCCCAGGTGCAGCTCACCAGTGAGGTTCTGGTCCAGCGGGCACTGGCTCCAGGGCAGCCGGTCCTGGAAGGAGTTGAAGAAGTACCAGAAGATCCAGGTGATGATGGTGTTGTACAGCCCGACCGTGAAGGACGCTAGCATGGCGGTGATGCCTGCGTGGGCGAGGGGGCTTCAGGGGAGATTCCGCACGTGGTGGGGCAGGGGCTCCTGTAGGTGCTTGCCTCTAACAGAACCAAGCATGAAGGGACCAGGAGAGGCAGCCAGGGGAGGCCTGGATCTTGGGCTTCAGGGCAAGGGCCTCCTGCCCCAGGAGCTCTCATCAGTGGATCCTGCCCCCTGCCCTGGCCAGAGGTCTGAGGGAGCCAGTGCCCCGGTCACAGAGCTGGTCAATGAGTGACCCCCGGGGCTGGCAGGGTGTGGGAGTAGATGAAGGTCGCCTGAGCAGGTGGCCAGCGCCCCCTGATGGGCTCTTACTCTGGGCAGGCAGGCTGTGCCCCTCCACTCTATGCCGATACTGCCCACACTTCCCAGGTGCCCAGGGAGGGGCCTACCTACACCCTTGAGGGCTGGGTGCATGGCGCTCCACATGCCCACAGGCCCCTTGTGCAGCCTCTGCCCAATGGCAAACTCCAGGTACAGCAGGGGGATGCCCTCGAGGACCAGCAGGATGAGGAATGGGATCATGAAGGCCCCTGGGGAGGCAGCACCAGTCAGGGCAGGTCCCCTTCTGGAGGGGCCACGTAGGGGCTGTGCAGTGCCAGCCTGGTGGCCCTCCCAGCCCGCGACTGCCCAGGAGCCCCAGCGTGTGCGGGCAGCACCTGTGGAGCCAGGCAGGACCAGGCCACTTTGCAGCTGAGTGACCGATCCATCACAGACTGGCTGCTGCCCCTGGAGCCGCCCCCCTGGGGCTCCCAGTGAGCTTAGCCAAGATGCAGGAGCTCTGTCGTCCATGTATGTCCAGCCCCAGACCTGACAGAACTGTGCACACGTGTGTGTGCATGCATGTATTTTGCATGTGCTGTGTGTACATGTATGTGTGTGCATGTCGATATACATGTGTGCATGTATGCACGTGTGTGTGCTTATGTGTGGGAGTGTGTGTATTGTGTTTTGTGTGTATGTGTGCTTGCATGTGAGTGCATGTGTGTGCAGTGCGTGCATGTGTGCACACGTGTATGTGTGCTTGTGTGTGTGTATACTACCAAACTTGGCCTTCAGTGTCTGTCAGGTCTCCTGGTTGTGCCCTGTGTGTGCTCCATGAGAATCACATTGATGGGAATTTTTCTCAGTCCAAAGACAACACCAAGGTGGTTGTTTGGCCTGGGGGTGTGGGGCCCACAGCCCACTCCAGAGGGCCTGGGTTTGAGTCCCAGCTCCACTCCCAGTTCCAGCCTCCTACTGACTGCCACCGGGGAGATGGCTCAAGGACCTGGCTCCCCGGCACCCACATGGCTTGGCATTCAGGGAGTAAACCAGCAGGTAGAGCTGTCTTTCAAGTAAGTTAGTTAAGTAAAAAAACCACGCAGCACCAGGGGACAGTGGCAACCTGTGGTCGGTGAGGAAATGCTGGTGCATTCTGACCTCAGGGATTCTCGCCAGGAACCCAGAGAGCAGCCGGACTCTGCTCAATACATCACCATCACTCAGATCTGGACCAGCGAGGGCCACGTCTCAGTAAATGAGGGCCGAGCAGAGTGCCTGCCCCAGAGCTAAACCCAGGTCTCCCCAAGACCCAGCCCCCACCCTGCAGAGCAAGGCAGCTATCCCCCAATGGATGGACAGATGGACAGAGGAGCAGAGGAGTTCTGTGCTCGGGCCTGGGTGCTGTGTGACATTAGTGGATGCCAAAGGATGCCTGTAGCCCTCACTCACAGGAGGACCCCAGAGAGACAGGAAGCAGAGCAGGGCTGCCTGGGGTGGGGCCTAGGAGTCAGTGACAGGTGGGCACACAGCTTTGGGCTGGGGAGATAGAGCTCTTGAGAAGGTGGCAGAGGCAGCTACACATGGCCCCACCCACTGCCCCTGCTGCACACAGCACCATCAGCTGCACACAGCACTGCTGCCCCTACTGCACACAGCATGGTCTGAGGCCAGCTCTGCCTCCCCAAGGCCGAGGCCCCCCGTCTCAGGTTCCTCACTTCCGCCACCCTCCTAACCCTAAGGGGATTCTCCCAGCCATCCCTGGGAGCTCTGGCCTGAGACTTCTAGGAAGTGACCTCTGAATGTGGATGACATTGACCTCATTCTGAAATTACAGGAATTCAGGGCTGGGCAGGAACAGGAGACTGACCAAAAAGTTCAGTTTGTCAGGTTGTCATGCGAACTCGAAGGAGAAGTCCCCACTGGTGCGAGTCAGCCTGAGGCTGGGACAACACTGAGTAGAGGCCTCAGGCCATCATGGCTTGCACATGTCCAGTGGGCCATGAGAATAGCCTGCACAGGTGAGCCCCCACCTGGTGTCCACAGGTGCCTCCCAGGCCCCGGGCAGGCCAAGGTGGCCCCCTTCCAGCTGGGGGCTTCACCGGGAAGGAGGCACACAGCAAACCACACAGCCAGAAGCCTGGATGCCAACGGTGGCCCCACACCTGACACCCGGCGGGTGATGTCTCGTCCCTGGATGTGGCACAGGATCACCTTGGCCTGTGCTGAAGGCAGCGCCCAGGAGCAGGAAGCAGAGGCCTCCCCGACCCTGTGCCACATGGCAGCGGTGGAAATGAACTTCTGTGTCATCAACGTTCTAGAACAGATCTCTCCCTGTGGCCGCTTAACCACTTGTCCGGGCTGTGCCGAGTCACACCGCCAGCATACCAGGTCGGCCAGGGTTCTCTGGAAGCACCCTGGTCTCCAGTACTGGCCTCCCCGACCTGGCCCCAGCTCTGGCGCTCCCAACGCCATGGTCTGCATCTTGCTGCAAGCCTGGGCAGAACCCGGGGGAGCCGCCACAGAGCACCTGCTGGGCCTGTGCCCTCATCTGACACCTAGTGTGTCCCGAGAACCGAGTGTGAGGAGCGTGGGCACCCAGCACCTGCGTGTGGGGAGAGGCCTCTGCCTCCCAGCTGCCGCGGCCACAGACGTTCATCTGCTCCCCTGGAGTTGTTTTCTGCCTGTACCTGCAATGAACTCTCATTCCAGCGTTTCTCCGCACATCTTGTGAGGTGAGTGGGTGTCGGTCAAGTCTCCCGCCGCTCCCTTGGGAACCGCCTTGTGCCCCTCACTGGCTCCTCATGGAGTTAACACATTCGCTGAGCAGAGACGGCCTCCTTCGTGGCGTGCCACTGTGCCACTGGGGCTGCAGCAGGGGTGGCCTTAAATCTGGCCAGTCCTGCCTTGGCACCCCGCAGTTATCCCATCTCCTTCCGGCCATGGCCTGAAGCCCTCGGCCACGTGCGCTGGACAGCCAGGTGTGTCCTGAGCTCCGGGACACTGTGAGTTTACTCATTTGTAAACATTACTAGATTTCCCACATTGGCAAGACAGCAATACTCCCAAGATATCAAGTGTTATAGTTATTTGAAAAGAAATCTTGTCAATCAGGCTACTGCCTAAAACGGAAAAAGGACCAGAACCAATGGCTGGCATTGTGGCACAGTGGGTTAAGCTATGAATTGTGATGCCAAATCAGAGTGTTGATTTGAATCCTGGATCTATACTTGACCTAGCTCCCTGCTAATGCACCTGGGGAAGCAGTGGAAGATGAATCAAGTACTTGGATCTCTGCCACTCATACAGGAGATCCAGATGAAGTTCCTGGCTCCTGGTTTCAACTCAGCCCAGCTCTGGTTGCTATAGCCATTTGAGGAGTGAACTAGTTGATGAAGCTTGATAACTCTCTCTCTCTCTCTCCCTCCCCTCCTCTCCATTTCACTCTCTCTGTCACTCTTTCAAATAAATAAACCAGTAAAATACAAAAAGAAAAATCACAATTATTTAAACTAAATGCTTAAAGGCATTAATTAAGTTGAGCATCTGACCATAAAAAAGCAACTGTTAGCAGAGCAGTAAAATATAGGAATGTCCCTATTATAGTTAAGATTGTCTATAATGAACAAAAACAGGAAAATTAACGTGGAACATTGAAAGCTCTTTTTTCAAGGGCCAGCACTGTGGTATAGCAGGTAACGCCATCACCTGCAGTGCCAGCATCCCATATGGGCACCAGGTTTGAGTCCTGGCTGCTCCACTTCTGATCCAGCTGTCTGCTATGGCCTGGGAAAGCAGAAGATGGCCCAAGCACTTGGGTCCCTGCACCTGAGTGGGAGACCTAGAAGAAGCTCCTGGCTCCTGGCTTCAGATCGGCCCAGCTCTTGCTGTTGTGGTCATTTACAGAGTGAACCAGCAGGTAGAAGACTTCTCTCTTATGCCTCTGCCTCTCTGTAACTCTGTCTTTCAAATAAATAAATAAATCTTTTTTTTTTTAAAAGAAATAAAGCTCTTTCCTCTGGCAGCAGACCCATGTGAGATGGGTCTTTCTTTTCAATATTGTACTAAAAGTATAATCAGGGAAATGAAACAATGAAATTTAAACACTGAGTATAAAGATACATTTTTTAGATTTATTTATTTTTATTTGAAAGGCAGAATTACACAGAGGAGAAGGAGAGAGAGAGAGAGAGGTCTTCCATCAGATGGTTCACTTCCCAATTGGCTGCAATGGCCAGCACTGCGCCAATCCGAAGCCAGGAGCCAGGAGCTTCTCCCAGGTCTCCCATGTGGGTGCAGAGGCCCAAGGACTTGCCATCCTCTACTGCTTTCCCAGGCCATAGCAGAGAGCTGGATTAGAACTGGAGCAGCTGGGTCGAACCGGTGCCCATATGGGATGCCTGCGCCACAGTGGCTGGCCCCAAAGATAAATTTTTAAGTAACAAAACTATCTATACAGAGATAATCCTAAAACAAACTGATAGGAGAACTAAGCAAGAATCCTGGGTACAAGATTAACTTATACCATCAATGGGGTTACTATATATCACTAAGAAATAAGTAGAAATCTATTTTAAAGGAAAAAGATACAGACTAGAAGCAAATGAGTCTTTTCAGTATCTTTAAATATTCTTCAAAACAATAAAAAATACTGAAGTGACATACAAGAGAAGTATGCCAAGAATATGATGAAACTGAAAGGCTCAAGACTCAGTAAATGTTAGTAAATTGTGACTGTGAGGCTAAGTTCTAGGTCACAAGATCCCAGCAGGATCACAGACATGGTGGGGATTGAGAGATCTCAGGTGGAATCATCAGGGACATAACAGTACAGGCTGCTGTCAAGAGAGCCAGCCCCCAGGAGGATGAGGTGGCTTTAGACTTGAGCTGAATGTCCCCAAACAGAAACTGCCCAAAGGACTACCCCTATGCTAGGGCAATTCTGATTGGTTGAATCTTTTCTGATGTCATGCATAATCACCAGCTGAACAAACTGTCCAATCAGGTATGCTGAGACAACACTGCAGTACCATATGGGATCTTTGATCTTGTTGTTGC